GGATCCTGGAAGGCTACCTCGTGGTCTCTGCTCATGCAGCCTTTCACTGAACAGTTTCTTCCAAGTCATCCCTTGACTCTGCTTCTTCCCAAATAATGGCGTCTAGTAGGGTTCACTGCAGACAGCAGATGTTCAGTCAATAAGACAGACTGGATCGGGAAAAGATCAGGCCTCTCCTCAGTCTCCACTGTCTGATTAGAAGAACAGTTAATTGTTTCCAGAGCCAGAGTTATCAGTTTCCTCTCTCGCAGTCCCCAGTCCCACTTCAGATCTAGCTTCTCCTTCCCAGTACTTCCCCAGGGGACAAGGCAGGGAGACGCTGGCCTGGAAAGAGGCCACTCTTCCCAGGATGCTGATGCTGCCTGAATCCCATGTAGGATGCAGTCAGGCTTCTGGGAGGGTGGGACAGAGGTCGAGGGACCCTGAAGATGCCCAGTGCACTTCCTGCCTGAATCACCTGTGCAAGCAGAGAGCCCATCCCAATGCCTCGGATTGAAAAATGCTGCAAAGAGGTGCCTATATCATGGGTCTTAGTTACATGCTGCCAGGAGCTGTTAAAGAGATCAGGTGTTCTTGCAGTATAACAGATACCAGCTGGTTTATGTTGACTTCTTTATCCCAACTGCTACTGCTTCACTCTGGATCATCACCGGCCTGGATTACCTGCTTTTACTTTCTGCCCTACAGGTCCAGACCGCCAGGTCTCAGGTAGAAGTGCTCAGCTCTTGGCTGTTGTCTCCCAGGTGTCTCTTGTCTCCTGGTTCAGCTCTCAGGCAACAGAGGGAGGCTGGGTTTGCAGGCTGAGCTCTCCTTTTAGAAGCGAGATGCTATTATTCAAGGTTCTCTCCAGCCCAGCCCAAAGTTGCAGGATCACTGAGTTGCGGTATGCCCTTCCCTCCAAAGCCAGCATGGCCATCAGTACCCACAGGATATCTACCTTGCTGGCCTCATGGAATATGACCCATTTCCTGATAGAACTGTGTTGATACCCATCTACCTTCATGGGTATGTCTGAGCCCTGTGTATACAAGAGATATCATACCCTAGCCCTGTAAAGCCTGTTTTGTTAGAATCACGTCTTTTCCTGGCTGACAGATAGTCAAGGACTGCCCTCTAAGGCGGGACAGAGCTGATCTACTGGTGAGGCCATGTTTTCCCTTCAGTTCCATGGGTTTAATGCAAAGGCTCTGGAACGTCCTTGGCAACCACACTGCACTATGTCCAAAGGTGCGTGGGCTCCGCATTGGAATGGAGGGGCTGCAGACAGTCCCCTCAGAGGGCCCTGCACATCTAATCTGCACACGTGACACAGCCCATTCTCTTTTATTTTTCTCTGTCTCTGTCTCTCTCTCTCTCTCTCAGAGACACCGTCTCTCTACAGAGCCCTGGCTATCCTGGAACTTGCTATGTAGATCAGGCTGGCCTCGAACTCATAGAGATCCTCCTGCCTCTGCCTCCCCTTGCTTTCACCACCACGCCTAAGCCTATTTTTCTTAAATGTTACCATTCATTCAACAGAGGTGGGAACTTCCATGAACATTGTAATTAAACTCTTTACTAATTATAATAACATACATTTCATTTCTACATTAGTTTGGCTTTCTTTTTTCTGAGATATATTTGAATTCAAACACGCTAGAACTTATAAAAAGTTTCTAAAGGACCCGTGGTAGAAGCCTCAACTAGACTGCCCTGCACCCTTTGAGGGATGCTCATCTGTCAGCCACCGCAACCGAGGCGCCTGTGAGTCTCCATATGATAGCCACACTGCCCAGAGGGCTTCTGCTCTTGCCTTCCCAGGAGTAGATACGTCTGAGAGAAAATTACCCTGAAATATGTGAATGGACGCTCTCAGAAAAGAAGAAAAAAAAAAAGCCACACCTACGTTAAACATTCTACACGGCTGATTGATTAGAAAGTCAGTGACCATGGAGAGATGGAATTTATAGGCCAGGAGACAAATTATCTTGAGTTATCTTAAGTCCCCCAAATAGCCATTTATTGCCTACCTCTGTATGTGGCCTACCATCTTCTTGGCTATTAGGTAAATCCCTTTGGAATGTACAAACAGACCTCTTAGAGTTCATCAGCCCCAAAGCTAAGATGATGTCTGAGGTTATAGCCGAGACGTTTTGTTTTAACCCGGCTGCCGATGTCCCCATCAAGATATTGAAAAACTGCCTTGATTCATGACTTCCTTTGTTTTGCTGATATAAAAATTGCATAAAACTGTTGACACATTAGAACGTGGTATTTGGGTAACCCAAATCTTTGCTTCAGGGCAATGCTCATGTTTAGCTACAGAATAAAGCGTCCTTATTCCCTTTCAGGTGAGAGTAGTGTATTTTCCCCGAGGAAGTGGACTGATTTGCTGCAGGATGGGCTGGTCCATCTTCCTGTGACCGCCTGTAACTGTTTCAAAGTGGCTTGGCATCGCTGGTATCACTGCCTCTGTGTGTCATGGTGCTCCCCGCTGCCTGCGCACTCAGACTGTCTTCTCATCCTGACCCAGGAGTATGTCCTGAGCACTTGGGGTGAGGAAGTCTGGGTGGAGCCACTCTGTTGATCCAGAGAGGCCCTGTCTCATTCTGATGTTATCAATCTGCTCCTTATTCTGAGTCCTATAGCACCACTCGCCTCTCTTTTTAAAGGGAAGCAAGTTCTTCTGGTGGGGGAGCTGTCCTTGTTTTTCCCAAGCTGTGTGGCTCAGCATGTGGCTCAAAAGGCCTAGAGGACCCTGGTGGAGTCTCCTACATTGTGTTCAGCCATCCCAACCCTGCCTCAGAGCAAATGAAGGCAGAAGGCATGGAATGAGTTTCTGACCTCTGGAAAAATCAAAATATATGTCCGAGTTCTAGTCAGACAAGCAGAGGCGGACTTGGGAGAAGCATGATGTTTGTGTGGCAGGTTTCTAATTGGGGGCTTCTCCGGCTCTCTGAGCACTTTCTTGTACATCACAGCCTTGTCCAGAGCCCTGCAGTAGTAAGTCGCCTTGCCAAGAACCTGTCCCTCCAGAGCCTCAGCCTCCACCACCCACCAGGCTCTGACCCCCGGGATCCAGGTCTGTCTTCATCGGGAGACACTGTTGGTCTTTTTCCACCCAGGGTCGCCACCTGGTCCTCAGCAGTGAGGTGCCCTGGCCAGCACTGTTGAGGAGCCGAGCCTCATTTGTGTCCCTGCTGCTGTGGTCTCTGGTGTCCTGCTGTGTTCACAAGCCTCCCTGGAGACTTCTTGATTGTTTTTGCAATGAGATAAAAGACAAGAGAGAAATGGGACACACACACACACACACACACACACACACACACACACACACACACACGAGAGATAGATAGATAGATAGATAGATAGATAGATAGATAGATAGATAGATAGATAGATAGATAGGGCTGAGAGGAGCACAGATTTTGTAGCTACATGGTTTTCATGTTTAGCTTGAACAGCTATGCAGTCAGGCCCAAGTGCATCTATTCCATGGGGTACACCTGAGTCCCCCACCTGCACAGCTTCAGAGAGAGATGCTGTCCAGCAAGAGCACGGACATGGAGTGGGGCTTATGCCATCTTTCCAGAAGCAGCAGAAGTCTTGGGTCCACCCAGGGGCCCAGAAAGCTTCATCAGACTTCTGAGTAGTCAGCATAGGTGAAGGTTCTGCTTCCCCTCACCTCAGGGACACTGAAGCAATGAATTAGAGCATTTAGCAACATATCCAGTGCTATGCACTATATATTAGAAGTATATGGTATCTTTTTTTTTTAAGGGCTCACAGCTAAGAGATGCCTTGAATCTCTAGACTCAAGACATTTGAACGATGATGCTGGGACCATTGGGACTCTTGAAGGTAGACGAAATGTACTTTGTGAGAAGGCCATAAGCCTTCCAAGGCCCCAGATAGAATGTTATGGTTTGAATCTGAAATGTTCCTCATAGGCTCATGTTTTAAACACTTGATCCCCGCTGGTGGTGGTATTTGGGAAGACTGAAAGCTTTTGGAGGTGGGTCCTGGCTGGGGAAGTTGAGTCACTGGAGGGTGGTCCTTGGGAGTACATTATCTCTGGCCACATCCCATCATGCTCTCTGCTTCCTGGCATGATGTGAACCGAGCTGCCTTGCTGCGCCTTCTCTGTGTGATCGATTGAGCCCTCCGAGGCCGTGAGCCAACACACCCCCCCCCTTCCTTAAGTTTGCCAGGCATTTTGTCAGTGATGGAAAAAAATACCTTTTACAATAAAACCCCAGGTCACGACTGGCTTTTAACGTTCCTTTAAACTCCATGAAAGTATGAAGGAGACAGACACCCTGGCCTGAGCAATTCCAGGAGGTGCAGGCAGGAAGTCAAGGCGGACGCTGGAATGTTTGCCTTCACAGATTGCTCCCTCGGCCCGTTCGAAATGTTTGCACTGTGGAGAGGTTTGCACAGAGAGTCCCTTGCTTTCTTTTGCTCCAAAACCCCCAAAGCCTTCATTATCTCCCTTCCTCCCCCTCCCTTCTCAAGGCAGGTGTGTGTCTTTGTTCTAGACCTTAATCAAATTTCAGTTCTCTTCACCCTTCACCCTGTATTCAGCTCTCGCTACAGGAATATTTAGCTGAGTGTGACACCCACTGCAGCAGTATTCTCAGCCAGGCTTCCTGTCTCCCTATTTTCAAGGCTTCTGCCCAGTGTGCAGGGGAAGGGCAGGCACCCCATGAAATGTACCCCCTGATCTCCTCTAGGGCAACACATGATGGATCCAGGAGAAAGCTGCCTTCTAACTGCAGCACTGAGCACCTGAGTTGAAAAACCTGTGGTTCTTATCCTTGGAAAGTAGACAGAAATTTTCTTTACAAAAGACACACACACAAAAAAAAAAAAAAATGAAAAAATACTTTTTCCAAAAATTTTCCCTACTCAATTCACCCGGGTTGAATCCAGAGTTCAGACTTTACTCTGAAAATGCCCTCCCTCCCTTGGGTCAGCACACACCCCACGTTAAGAAGGCGGAGAGCCAGGACACTGCAGGAGGAAGGGAACTGGTTCTTTTATTTGGTGTTATACCAGCATCATGCAGGTGCTTATTCATATGAGTGTAAGGTGGAGCTGAATTCAAATCTGCTTCCCCCAACAGGAGGAGATGTATCTAAGCCGTCTCTGGGAAGGAACGCCTCATTAGAGAACTCTCCCCACACACCAGCCGAAGCATGGTGGAGGACAAAGCCGCAGCGGGGATCATGCAATGAAAATGGCTGGAAGGAAAATCACCCCAGAGAACTCACAGCCACAGTGAGGGTGACTGAGACACCTAAGCAGACCCGCGGTGTGTGGTACCAGCCTCAGCCTGCTCATCACATGGTATGGAAGGATTTTGCACTTTCTGGGGCCCTAGGCTTGTCCTAAAACACTGGCATCACACCATGGTCATGACCTTCAGGGCCGCTGGCTGGAACCTGCGGATCTTCTTCTTCAGGGCCTTGGAGGCCTTGATGCGGCACAATTTGGGCACAGGGGGCAGGGGTGGCCTGCTGCTTCCCGGGGCCCGTGGGGACTGCTGGGGGTGCGCCCGAGGCCAGGCCCGCTCCCCGTGCCCAGCCTCCGCACTGCCTATTCCCCGGCTACTGCGGCGGCTCTGGACACAGCCTTCTGAATCGTTGCTACTGGACTCGTCCCCGAAGCGGTTGGCGGTGTGGTCACTGGCCTCCTCGTGCTCACTGGTTTCGGCGATGGTTGAGTGGAATAATGAGGTGCACTCTGCTGAGTGCTCTGAGGGGTCTGACTCACTCTTCGCACAGGCATCCTGACGGGCAAGTGTGGGCCTGATCTGGGCCCGGGGCCCACCTGTTCTCCTGGCTGGGGACCTAGTGGGCCCCGAGCTGGGCCCAGGATGGCCAGCCAAGCGGGCTTTGGCTGAGATCTCCATAGCAGACTGCCACCGGCGCTGCTTCCTCCTGGCTGCTGAGCTGAGAGGGGATGCCTCCACGGGGAACAGAGCTTGGGATGCTGGGTAACCCTCCTGCGGGGCCACCACTAGGGGGACAAAGAAGGGCACGGGGTAGAGGGTGGACTCAGAGCAAGAGCGTCCAGGAGGCTCTCTGACCAGCGTGGGCCTCCTGCTGAGCCCTCCCTGCTGGGGCCTGGATGGGGGGTCCCACTCTGGAGGCATCACAGCGTGGATGCCCCGCTGCTGTCTCTCGGGTTGTGGCGGGAGCTGCTTCCCCAGCCTGGGCACTTGGTCACTGACCCTCCCTCTGACCTTCATGGCCTGGCCTTGGGGAGAGCCCATCCTCAGCCTCATTGGGGAGGTGTCACCAGTGGTGCAGGATGGGTAGGCAAAGGGCCCTGGGGCCAGAGGGGGACTCTCAGGGCCCAGCATCCTGGATGGGGACAGGATTTGTCCTTGGCCATAGCCATTGTGGGGCTGCTGGGCCTGGGCGCAGAGAGAGGAGCCTACAGTGTTGTCTCCACGGGCACAGGGATGCCAAGGTGTGGTTTCCTCCTTCAGGGGGCTGCTGAGGGGCTCCGCATCCGCAAGGGACACAGACCCCTGTGGCCTGAGGCTGTCCTTGGCGGCATCCCTACCCATTCCTCCCCTGTCCATCCCGCCGGCCAGCTTCTCGAGTGGACCTCCACTCTCTGGCCTCTGGCCGCAGAGCTTCTGCGTGAAAGGAGCCACGTCACTTCCGGGCTCCGGCACCACATCTCTCACGGGGAGCTCTTGGCCCCGCAGACGCAAGAGCCTGTGGATGTAGGCTTCGGCTGAGCCCAGCTCATGGATCGGCCCAGTCTGAGTCCTGTTCTGATCAACGGGGACCAGAGGAGGCTCCTGGGGAGGTGAGTAGATGTCGAGACGTGGCGCTTCCTTGGGCAGAGCAAAGAGGGGGCTCTGTAGAGCCACCGCATGTAGGGGGCTGGGGTAGGGGTACACCTCCTGGCCACCCCTGGCCACCAGATCACGCTGGTACTTGGGGTCCAGTGCGTGGGCCGGGACCTCTATCCCCTGGCAGAAGAGGGATGAGGACGCGGCATCAGTCTCAGCTCTCTGGAGCCCCAGGTCATCTGGGAGGACTCGCTCAAGATCGCCTGGGAAAGAGACCGTGAAAAGTGTTATCAGCACAGAGGCCCATCCCTGCTCCCCGCAGGGAGGCTTAGCTCTGTGTACTGGTCCCCGCTCTTCAGTGAGAGTGAGCAGGAAGCATCATCTCAGTGGCCCCACTTAGCCACGGCTTGGAGGCTACCTGGAACAAATGTCCTACAGCCATCCATGGGAACCCACAGCCTGAGAGAGAAAGTGGGGACTCTCTCCACAGAGAGATTAAGGCTGGCACACCGCCCTGGTGTGTGTGTGTGGGTGGGTGGGGGGTCCAAGTGACATCTTTTTCTCTTGGGAAAACATGATGAGGGGTGCCTGTACCTCGAGTCTCACTCTAAATGTGGCACATCAAATGATTTGAATGCTTCTTCAGAGCTTCTGGGTGTTCATTTAAAACACACACACACACGTACACGCACACGCGCGTGCACACACGCACACACACACACACACACACACACGCTCCTTGTAGGGCCATCCTCTTCTCCAATGGGCCCAGGCACTGTCATCTGCTGTCCCTCTCACCCACATGACACTCTTGCCCTCTCCTGCCTCTCACCTGTAGACACTGGTCTGGGTCGGAACAGGCCCCTTGGACGGCCTGTGTCCTCCGAACCATGCAGGAACCGGCTGTCTTCTCTACTGGGCTGTGGGCTCCACGCAGGGACAGTGGTCTCATCAGCAGAGCGGGGTCGCCAGTCTCCTATGCCAGACCTGGACTTAGAGGGCTGGAACACAGGCAGCCAGCCACCCAGCGAGGGGGACAGGCGGTCACTGCAAACTGATGCACATGAGGTGGACAGGGAACAGGAACCAGCGTCACTCAGCTCGTAGAAGCCTGGACAGAGCAGACACAGTGGTCAGTGCACCTCCGGCCAGTGGGCTCTACCCCAAAGACCTAGCGCTCCTTTCTCTTGCTTTTACTGGCAGAGAAAGGCGTGAGGGGCTGGTAAGAATGCCTGGGGACAGGCCCACAACAAGAACGTTCCAGATTCTTGCTGGTAACCTTGTGAGTGGCTATGGGAACAACTGACCCTACCTCACCTGAACCCTACCGCTGTGCTCAGGAGACCCTCCTTTGTTCTAGGCATCTCCTTTCTTTAACATGCAACTGCATGGGGCATTCCTTCTTGGGAGTCCTCAGCCCCAGAGACTGCTGGGTACCTAGCACAATCCAGGCTAGACGGCAAAAGCCAGGTACCAAGAGTGCCGAGGGGACTCCAGACACGGCAGACTTGCTGTCACAGCTACCTGTGACCACCGTGACCCACACCCAGGGGTCCCTGTTCCCAAGTTTCACCTGGAGAATACTGAGAAAGCAAAAGTGATCAGAGCCACACAAGCCAGCAAGACTGCCAAAAATGACTTCCTGTGAGCTCTGGGATGGAGCACAGGGAAGGAGGGGCCTCCTGTGTAAACAGCTGGCAAGTTATACTGATGTCAATGATGTAAGGGGTGTGTAAAATAGTTATGTGCACGGTCCATGACTATCCAGCAAAACCAGGAGCTCGCGGGGTGTTTAATTTAATATATAAACCAGTAGTTTACATATGTGTAAACTGTACAGACTATATTATATGTAAACTCTTTAGCATATATATATTTAAACTTTATATATTTATTATATTTATATTTTTCTTTCAGCATGTTTAGTTAAAGCTTTTTCCTGTCTTTAGTCACGTATACTTCCCAGGCTGCCCAAGGGACCTCCCAAGTGTCAGATCAGCTGAGGACATGGGCCGAAGCTGTCACTGTTCACAATGTTTACGTCAGATGGGGTCAGTGAGGGGTGATGATGAACGCTGTATTGCCTTCCTGGAAGGTGGCAGCCTGGCTCTCCAATGTCTGCCTAGCCACCATTAGTCATACCTGAGCTGGGCCTGCTGTCACTGTCCAGGGCCTCACAGGATGACCGGCTCACATCCAGCTGCAGCTCACTTATCTGCTGGTCCAGCTGGTCCAAGTGAGTCTTCAGGCCAGCATCCTGTCGCCTTAACCGTGACTGCGATGCAAAAAAGAGAAAGAATAAAAACTGATGTGAATACAGAAACCTAAACTAAGGTCCAAGGCGGAAACAGGGCCATTGTGGACACCAAGAAAACTCCAAACTCATGGGAAGTAACTCCCTGGGTTTGCTGGAATGGGCAGCAAAGGATTTGTCACATACACACACACACACACACACACACACACACACACACACACACACACACACACTGTACAGTCCACATGAAATGGGGGGAAATTCTGTATACACCTACATAAACTAATCTGGACTGAGTGTTTGGTAAAAACTGATTTCTTTTTTTCAACTGTGCAGAGTTCCAGGTAGGCCGCATACTTTTTTCCCCCCTTTAATTTGTTTAAGGCAAACAAATAGTAAAACGCAGGCACACGGCTCATCTGTGGAAGAACATGTCCATTACTTTTTTAGAGGGGAACTACCTCAGGGGAAATCACCAGCAGAAGTTGCCAGCAGGAATGAATGACTTCCTGTTCACCAGAACAAGTGCTTTCGCAAAGGGCCACGGTGAGTTGAGTGGGAGGCTGGCCTGGGCTGGCACGGATGCCAGCCTCGGCTTTACCCCCAGGAGCTGACTTGAGGTGGGATCCACCTCTGGTGCTCTCACCCCCACAGGAAAGAAGACATTCTAAAGAGACAATGGACACTAAGAAACTGGGATTTCCCCAGAATTTTTCTTTCTTTTCTTTTTTTCTTTTTGGTTTTTCAAGACAGGGTTTCTCTGTGAAACAGTCCTAACTATTTTGGAACTCACTCTGTAGACCAGGCTGGCCTTAAACTCACAGAGATCCACCTGCCTCTGCCTCCCAAGGGCTGGAATTAAAGGTGTACGCTACCATGGCCCAGCTAATCCTGGGGGAGAAGAAAATGCTGAAGCCAGGCCCCAGCTGGAGCCCAAGCTTGTCTCCCCAGAAGAGGTTCCCCAGTTCTGACAACTCACCTACCACCTTCCAGGCACCCGAGACAACACCAGGTGGAATCATGCTTGCCTGCCTCTTACATCTAAAAGGGTACTCAGGTCAGTACCCTGAGGATGAGCTTGGGGGTCGCTGCACCTCTTCTCATTGTGGACACCATGAACAAATGTCCTTTCACAACTCTTCGTTAGGACTCGTCTGTTTGAGGACGGGTGGCCCCGTTGGCTTTTTAGGGCTGCTAGGTCCCAGGCTCTGATCCTAACTCCACTAACACAAGGTCTGAAGGGCGAAGAGCAGCTGAGAGCAGCCCTGTCTGTAATCACACATGTCAAAGCTGAATAGAATTTCCTGGAACCTGCTTCCATTACAAACCCTTTCCCTGAGACAACCAGGGTAGAGACCACAGGCATGCCCCTTCCACCCACTTAGAAACTGATACTTAGACCCACCAAAGAGATGGCAAGGATTTTTCCTGGAGTCCACAGACACCAAGCACCTCTGCCAGGGCTAGCCTAGTGAGCAACAGCATCTCTCTCTCTCTCTCTCTCTCTTCCAACTGCTCTTCTTTTTTTTTTTTTTTTTTTTTTTTTTTTTTTTTTTTTTTTTTTTTTTGGTTTTTCGAGACAGGGTTTCTCTGTGTAGCTTTGCGCCTTTCCTGGAACTCACTTGGTAGCCCAGGCTGGCCTCGAACTCACAAAGATCCGCCTGCCTCTGCCTCCCGAGTGCTGGGATTAAAGGCGTGCGCCACCAACGCCCGGCTTTGCTCTTCTTTTTTTAAAAAAAATTATTTATTATGTACACAGAAGAGGGTGTCAGATCTCATTACAGATGGTTGTGAGCCACCATGTGGGTGCTGGGAATTGAACTCAGGACCTCTGGAAGAACAGTCGGTGCTCTTAACCTCTGAGCCATCTCTCCAGCCCCCCAACTGCCCTTCTTCAGAGGCCCCTATGTGCACATTGGGACCAGCTGCTTGCTCTGCAGATCCTATCTGTCCAGCCAGCCTCAGTAGCTAGTTTCTAGTTAATGGTGGAGGTCTCAAGACCCCAGGGTCCTTAGAGGCCTCAGGGCTCTGCTGTGAGCTCACCGTCCGGATCGATAACACCATAAGTAACACTTCCCTTCTATCCCTAGTTCAAGTTTTCACCACCGTTCCTTAGGCTGAACTTCAGGGTCAAAGCCACTGTGACCGGGACAGAGCATGGCTAGCCACAAAGCCAGACTGTGGCACTCTTCCCAGAACCAAGTCTGCCTATGGTCTGCAAGCCTCATGCTGGTTTCCAGAATGCTCTGGGGCACTTGAGTCAGAATTCCCCAAAGCGGGGTCAAGGGTCAGAGGCCTGGTTCAAGGAAGAACTAACCATAGTCACAAAGGTGGAGTCACTCAGTACACCTGCAGATCCTGGGCTCTTGCTATGTCATGCTCTGGGATAGGTACAAGACCTTGTACCTTCACCAGTTAGGTCTGGTGACCGCCAGATGTCCGAGACCGGCCATTCCATGGTGTCACCAAAAGGGAGCTGGCTGATTCCTTTAAAAGACTCACATCATTACATAGAACCTGATCTGAATTCGTTATACCTTCCCCTATGGACAGTTCCGCTCTGCAACCCCAGCATTAAAAAAAAAATCTTGACGGTCTATTTGGAGGATAAAAAGTTCAGGATGTAGAGATGGTATCTAAGACACTTCCTTCCTCTCCTTGAAGGCAAATAGTGAACAAAGGAAATGTTTTATGCATGGATTACCCCCTGATGGCCTCCTGCAAACGTCACACCACATCAATCCGTAGTGAAGGGCCCTGCTCACTGGCTCATGGATGAGACTGACAGTGATCCTGGAGAAGTTTGTCAGGTCCTTGCTCCTGACCTCATCTGCTTCTCATCTGCCCTCCATCTGCCCCCTAAGGTGTTCATCAAAGCAAGCTGCTTGGGCCAAGGAAAACACCATCGACAGTTACAGAATCAGTGTGGCTTGCTCTTGTGGCGTCACCGCCTGAGCCTGCCAGGGAAAGGAACGGTTGCATGCTGTCACTTTCAGAACAAGTCAGGACCAGTCCACCCCTGCAGGATGATCCTCATATCGGTATGCATCAGCCTCCGGTCGGTCCCAGGACACCTCTTCTGGATGTGGCTGAAGTAAGATAGAATGTTACAGCTTCTTGGCCTGGTGCCAGCCCCTGGCGCTGTCCTACTGAAGCCCACTTACCAGAGTGAAAATGCTAGCCACTTCCCGAGACAAGTCCCCGTGAAAACACTCATGGGGGCAGCCTAAAGGGCCACCTGCAGCAGGCGGTGGGGTCAGGGGTTAGAGGACACGGGAGTTCATCAGCAAAGAAGTTTGGAATAGGGAGGGCTAAGTGCTGAAATCATCTCTGGGTTTTTTTGTTCTGCTTTGTTTTGTTTTGTTTTTTGCTCTCAGCCATTAAGTCACTGACTTATCTTGTGGACAAAATTCCCCTAAGCAGCTACTGCTGAGTTCCCTTTGTGACTTTTGACACTGCAATTAGCAGGTCGTGTAGCCCATCTGATGAACACCAAATCCCTAGAAATGCTAAACCTATCCTTCCTTGAGAATCCCTGCAAAATAAATGTGGAAGAGAACTACGGGACTCTTCTATCTTCACACCTGAATGATGACTGAGGGCCAGCGGGAGGGCCGTGAGCTCTATTTCCTTGGGGTTTAACTGGACTGCACTGTAGCCCTTTCATTATTTAACAAGCATCATTGCTCCTAATCTCCACTCCCCCACCCCCCACCCCCCTTAAAAATGTTGAAGTGCTAAGTGCTGGTTAAAGCCACATAAATTCAACTATTTTTCTCTTCCGGTGAACCAAGTTTCGCGACAAAGCCTGTGTGTTCTTTCTGGTCTCACAGAGGCGTGTGTGTGTGTGTGTGTGTGTGTGTGTGTGTGTGTGTGTGTGTGAACAAAAGGCTTGTTTGATGTCTCCAAAGGCTGTTGGTAATTGCAGTGTGAGGGCTTACGGACTGAGTCTGTATTGCTGAAGCGGAGTTAATCATCAACCTTAAAGGAACGGGTCATGCGTGTAACCGTCAGTGCGCCTGCCTGGTTGAGGTCACGTGAAGCGGAGTGCGTAGCCTTTCGGACCTCAGGCACCTGTTGTAATGTCTTGGTCCTTGGGTGGGTGCAGCAGTTTGCAGAGTCCAGCCCACACCAGCCATGTCCCTCTGGGCAGCTGAGCCGCTCACAGACTGGAGGAGGCTGCCGGCTGGGTTCCGCCCTCAGCCAGCTCTCCACCTCTCTGACACCCAGGGAGGATTCCAGGTGTCCTGGGGAGTGAGTGACTCAGACGCTGGACTTCCTGATTCTTTAATCACAAGCCCAACAACACAATTCTGAGCTAAAGCTGATTGGAAAGCAACAGTTTCGTCCTGGACTTTTACCAAGAGGCGCCTCTCAACAGGACAGATCCAAATTTCACCGTGAAAGAAATCCCACTTAAGAGTTATGGATGCGACTCCATCACATCTGAGAGCATTATTTTGTTATTTTTAAAAAAATACTGCAGTGTCAGGCGGTGGTGATGCAAGCCTTTAACCCCAGCACTTCGGAGGCAGAGGCAGGTGCATCTCTTGAGTTCGAGGTCAGCCTGGTCTACTAAGTGATTTCCAGGACAGTCAGGGCTACACAGAAAAATCCTGTCTCGAAAAACAAACAAACGATAACAACAACAAAACCCAACAACAAAATCACCACACCGCAGTACTGAAAAAAAAAAAAAAATCTCGAGCTGTTTCTAGAAGCAGGTTGTAGTTCTACTCCTGGAAGGCCCCCAGTGGTCTACAGAGGAGGACTCATGGGGCGCGGGTATCTGAGAAAGCACCACCGATCCCCTCTTCCTTGTTCGTCAGACTGGTGGACACTCGTTTTTGTTTTTGTTTTTTTTTAAAACGGATCGATCAGGTGACACGAAATCTTGGAGACGTCCTCAGCCCGCAAGACTCCCCAGTGACCCAAGCGAACCCAGTACAGTGTCCTGCGGCACACGGTCACGCGTGCAGCCGGCCGACCTGCTCCCGGGATGAGGTTAGGGTCCACGCATCCCCACCACCACCACACGGCACCCACCCCGACGTGCGCGCCTCCGCACCCGAGCTGTGTCAGCCGCAGAGGCGATGCGCATTCAACACCAGGCTCTGCGCGCGGCTCCCCAGCACGCACCCCGTAGCGCGCTCCCCCACGCAGCCGCGCATCGGGCCTCTCCACTCGCTCACTCCACGCAGCTGCGCCCCGGTCGCGCCCCAGCACGTCCCCTCGGCCACCCGCGTCCCGCTCGCTCCTTACCA